GTTTCATCCATATTTTAACCTGCATCACTATTTCAATTATTTTTATTGCCAAATAATATTTCACTGTATATACAGGCTAACTATTAATGATAAAGGTTGCATCTTTTAGTGTGGAATAATCTGACAGATTTTAAACCCGTATATGGAGTTAACCCAAAACATGAAAAGATGCCTCTGTGTTCAAACTCCTTTGCAGAACCGCATCTTTTATGTGGCTCAAGCAAAACCAAGTCAACAGTTGGACTGTGCCTCACAACTGTGTTCTCACCAAAGGTCAGAGGCGTGCGCAGGCTCAGTTCATGCCATGGAACACAAACTAATGTCCCCGAAAATCATGGTCCCATTTAAAGGCCGGTTTGTCTGATCCCCACGTCACTCAGTGGCTCCAAAAGGCATGGGCGCTGAGAGAGACCTATCTTGCTTGAGTTAAGGGAATGAAAGCATATTTTCCACTACAAAGAGTCATTTAATTTTATGACATCGTCAGTGATCAAATCAGAATCTTTGTTTTGCAGTTTCCCTCAGCGGAACAGCCGAGGGAAATAGGTTGCTTATTTTTGCAAAAGGGGGGTAAACGGAACACCTGATGAGAACTTAGAGCTGCTTGAGACTTCTGTGTGCAGGTTCAGTCCTAGTGACGTACAGTACTCCAGATTAATTGCTTGCTACCTGCAAAGTGATTTGTTTTCCTCGGTGACTATCAGCCTCAGCCCCTGTTTTAAGGGACTCATCACTTACTTGTTGTCGGTTGAGACATAACCTCCTTTTGGACGGATATGGATTATGGGCTTTCCTGATCTTCTTGAAGGAAAGCTGGGAGGTCAGGTGCCCGGGCATTTCCTCCCTTTCTCATTAGCGCCTGGAGTCGGGTCAGTGGGAGAGGGTGCAGCCCAGGCAACTCCCGGATCTGAGCTCAGCGGTCAGGTCTCTGTGGCCTCAGTTTGCTAGAGCAGATGCAGAAAGTCCAAAGAACAGCTCTTAAGTCCAGTGGTATCCACGAGCCTCCTGGGAGAGCCTCCTACCTGCCTGACCTGGTACTCCCTTTCTGCACGCCTGAAAGCCCCGGCCAGTCAAAGGAGGAAGTGGCTGCGGGGGACTGGCCGCTCCCCAAGGGAGGGACGCAGGAACGGCTGCCACCCAGTCCCTTTGGCTGCAGGCTGGAGCCTTAGGACAGAAGGAGAAAACTGACAGCCCCGCCTCGCCCCCCTCCCCGGGAAGGCGCCCCTGAAGCTGACTCTAACCGACAAGCTTCACCTTCACGTGGGGAGTTGACAGAGCCCCGGGGCCCCGTCAGGTCCTTCCCAAGCCCAAAGTGAGCCTGCAGGTCCGGCCACTAGCTTCCTCCCCAGCGCTCTTCCGAGGCTTGCAAAGGCGGCAGGCCTGCGTTTCCAGGGGAGGGGGTGCGGACTGCGAGGGGAGCTCGGCAGCTTTTTTTTTTTTTTTTCTTTCCGGAGAGCTGCGTATCAGTGTGACCAGGGGGTCCCCCCGCGAGGGCGACGCCGCCGGCTCGGTCCCATTGTCCCCTGCACGGCCGGCTGCGCCCACACGGCCAAGTCACCGGCAGCAGCCCGGCGGAGTCTGCAGCGAGCAGCCAGAGGGTTTGCAGAACAGGCAGCCACGTCTTGCATTTCTTCTCCGCGCTCGCTCGCGCTTCCACCGCAGCCGAGGGCGCGGCGTGAGCAGCCCACCGTCCCGCCCTCCCTCGACAGCAGCTCGGCGAGGCGGAAAGCCTGACGGCCCCGTAGCAGGATGCCTGCTTTCCAGGGGTTCATTTGGAGGAGAAGGCGTGCGGTGCAGTTCGGCCCTGCACAACACCGGCTTCTCCTAAGGGCCTCGGAGGACGGAACTTCTTTGTTAGGGAGGGAAGAGGACAGAGAGACGCCGCGGAGCCCCCAGCCGAACGCACGTAGCTGCCGGGAGCGCCTGAGCGCTGCTCTGGACACCTGCGTGCTTTGTCCGCCGGCGGCGCCTGGCAAGAAGAGCGCGCAGGGCCGTGCCAATGAGTTCTAGAGTCTTCTGTCTGTGCTGTAGCCAATTAGTGTGAATGTTCAGCATCACCTACTGAATGAAGAACTTTGAATATCCTGTGGCGGGGAGCTGGGCTAGAGACAGGCTCCAAGATTTATTACCATTTCTCAGTCCTATGAGTTCTATTGTTTCCTACGCTTACTACCAGCGTTAGCTATAATGAGGGTTCTGGGTGGCGGGGTGGGGGGGGGTAAGGAGAAACGCGCCAGCTCCCTGGCCCCAGCTCCCACCGTCCTACCAGTAATGTAGCTCTTCTGGTCTGGCCCCTTTGGGCTGGGGCGAAGTATCTTTTCTCCTGTGTGTGTGTGTGTGTGTGTGTGTGTGTGTGTGTGTGTGTGTGTATTCCTAGGTAGTAAGGTACTGAAAGAACCAGGGGGAGTGTTACTCGGACACTTTATAAAAGTTTTGAAAACTTACCATGTTTTTATGGGAACTGGGCTACAAACAGTGATTTATGAAACATCTTCCAAGTTTCCTTCCGGTCTTGTCAGGGACACAGGTTTTAAGTAGTTTCTGTGGTTGTCATGTAAAATCTGGGGCATGCCTTCGTAATTGGCAAGTTTTCTCAAGAAAATGAGAACTTTTCTTGAGAATGAGAGGGGGATAGTAATTAATCTGACCCCGCTGCCTTGGGTTCCCTCCCCCGCCCCCCAAGTGTGAAATGCACGTGGCAGGAAGGAGACTGATCCACCCAGGGGCGACTCTAGAACCTTCGGCAAAGATGCGCCTGTGGTGCTTAGCTTCACTGGCGCCCAGGGGGCCCTGGGAGCGGGGTCGGGTTGCTCAAGTATTGTTGCTACTTCTTAATGCAACGCGTGGCAGTGCGCTTGGTCACCTACCGACTTTGGGAGCTCAGACTGCGGGACTGGATACACTAATGCAAGTTCACGTGTTCTGCGTGTCACTTCGACCCCCAGACTGTGGAGAAACTCTCTCCTAAAGGCTCAGGCTTTTCTAGGAGGCATTGTTCTGGTTTTCCGAGGGCTTAGTCTGTTTCCGCACGTCGTTACAAATGCCAGTGTATTTCCTCCGGCCCGAGTCGGGTTAGATGCAGGTCGGTGGAAGCCCCTGCTCAGCAGCTGGGAGCGAGAGATGGAAAGAGAAGGCTCCAGTTACATAAGCCCCTCTGCCAGGTTTCCAGGAACAGGTCTGGGCGGCACGGGGCACTGATTCTCCACCACCCGCCCCCCACCTCCGGGGGATACGCTCGGGCGCCCCAAGAGCGTGCACGCCCCGGCCCGGCCGCCACGGCGTCCTCGAACCGAAAGATGCCAGCGATGTGCTCGCCTGAGGTCGCGGGCTGGCTGTTCCAAGGGTCCGGCGCAGCCTGAGCTTAAAGCCACCCCGGGAGGGTATCTTCCCGCGGGGAGCGGGCCTGGTGCTGGGGGGCTGCGAGCGAGGGTTTCCCGGGGACTTGAGGGAGTCGGAAGTGACGGTGCTTAGTCCACAGTAGTGAACTTTTATTTTCCTGCCACAGCAAACAACGTCAAGGCAGGGATAGTGTTTAGCTGCTAATCTGGGGGGAGAACGGGGACGGGGGAGGGAATGAGAATGAGGGGTGCGCAGCCTTTGGAGGCCTCCAGAATCCGTCCCCGGGCCAGGGCGGCTTGCTGAGAGTCCCGGAGCTGGAAGCCGAGGGCGGACGCTCGTACCACCGAGTTAGGGCCGCTGAGGGAGTCTGCGTGTGTTGAGCCCCCTCCCCTGTCCGAACGTCCTTTGCACTTTTCAGCCTCGGAAGAGAGGACACTCTGGAAAGGAAGGCACGGCACGGGCCGTTTCCAGACGCTCTGTAAGGGACGGGCCGCCTGCCGGGGGTGGAAACCCGTAGTTGCACCCTCCTGCCTCGAAACTCATCTCCCCGGCAGTGTCTTGCCCTCCCACGTCCTCGGGTGACTCAGCTGACCTGAAGTGCCCACGCTGTGGAAGACCAAGGGCAGTACTTTTCGAAGAAGGTTGGAGGATTGATTGCACGGGGACGTGTTTCCACTGAGGTCGAAAGCGGCCACCTGCGCCCTCCGCCTGCCCCTCCTCGGGCCCCGCGGGGAGGAAGGGGACTGACCCGCACGCGCGCGCCCCACGCACTTCGTTGGCGCGTGGGAAGCGCAGCGGGCGCTGTACATCCACTCGCGTTCGCAACCTGCGGCCGGCGGACCCCTCCTCAGAGCCGAAAGCCGGCTAGGGCCGTTCATCAGCGTGAAGTGTTACTCATGGACGACCCCTAAATCACGGCCAGAGTAGCAGGTGCCCTGATTGGTCACCGCCGGGAGCCTCGCCGCTTTCCCGAACCCGACGCGGCCGGGAGGGGGCAACGAGGGAGGGGCGGCGAGCGCTCTCCAGGCCGGCAAATCCCCGTTGGCAGAAAAAGGCACCAGCCGGGAAGCTCTTTTTTTGAATGAAGAAGCAGAGGAAATAAAGTCCCTGTCATCTTGACTAGTGGCGGCGCGGACGAGGCCGCGATTACAAACGATCAGCGCCCGGTCCAGCTCGGCCCGCAAGCGCATGGTAGGCTTGGCTTCTCCGCTCGCCCTCCCTCCCTCTTTCCCTCCCTCTCTCTCCGTCTCTCCCTCTCTCCGCCTTTCCGTCTCTCTTTCCCTCTCTCTCTCTCTCCCTCCCTTTCTCTCTCTCCCTCTCTCTCTCCCTCCCTTTCTCTCCTCCCTTTC